TCCTCTACTAATCAATTTCCTTGTCAAGAATTGATATTCTCTTTGAGCTTCTCTAATTCTTCTTGGAATCTGTTTGAGAACTACCAATTCTTTATCTTTATATTTCAGTGGTTGATCCCTCACTAGTCTCAGGATCTCATCCCGTACTGCTCTTTTACTAATTCTAACATGAACCTCGTTAGGCACTCTATTTCTTCTTGCATAATTTGAATTCACTCTAAAAACTTGATCAACTTCTCTTTTGATTTGATCCATTTCCATTCCGAGCAAGTCCGCCAATAATTCATTCATCAATAGTAACAAGGTCTCATCACTCTTTTCTATCATATTTTGAAATCTTAGAAAGTATGATGCCTGTTCCATCTCCATCATCGCCATATTTACTTCCAGCTCCACATTAGAGTGCATCAATCTCTGATTTTCATCTTGCAGAGCTTCTAATTTCTGATCCACTACTATTGACTTGTCTTCAATATTTTGCATTCTTTAGTGAGTATCTGACATCGCCTGTTGAAAGGCTTCCATTTTTTGATCCATCTTAAGCAAATCATTTTTCAAATCTTCAAAGTCCTTTTTCATTTCCATTTTGGAATCTACAGTTGCCTGGAGAATGGCTTGCATATCCTTCTGCTGAGTGTCCAGTTATAAAAATATTGTAATCAATTTTTGAAGCGCTGGACTCACTGAAGTTGATGCAGGAGCCGAGGAGCCCTTCCTCACCCCTTTCACCAAATTTGAAACACTCATCTTGATTAATATATTTATTTATAATCCACCATCAAGCCCAATGGCCCAATTAGTTATAATCCAAAAATAGGGCCCAATGGCCAATTATAATCCACCAAAAAGCTCAGAAAAAGAAAGAAATAAAAAAAGATATAATCCAAAGCCCTCAGTAAAAAATAAAAGTAAGAATATCCAGCAAAGAATTTTCAAAACATCGGAAAAAATATAAAAAGGAATAGCAAGTGTCTAGACCAAAAAAAAAATAGAAAAAGAGAGACATAAAAAATACGTTTATAGCCACACAGCAAAGCTGACAAAAAAAGGAACAATAAAAAAAAGAAAGAAAAAAAAACAATATCCAATTTATAATCCAGTTAGAGACATAAAAATCTTCTGTGGTTCCCTTGTTTTAAAAAGAATAAAATAAATCCAAAAAGGGAACCAGACACAAAGCAAAGACAAAAAACAAAACAAAAACAGTCTCTCTTAATAATCTCCAAGCAAGGTAGGAATGTCTGGGCAGTCAGCCAAGTGTCTGGGCATTGAGCCAAACTCCACAGCTGAATCAACAAAGTTAATGTAACAAAAGAACAAAGGAGAAAAGTTGCAAAATAACCACCAGGGGACACTGTTTCTTCCCTCACCGTTTACATAGGGAGAAAGTAAAAGAAAAAGAGAAAGTTCCAGCAGCAAATACACAAAACTAACATTCCCAAAAATTCTAAAAAAAAGCAATTAAGGTGGCTTTTCCCAAGTAGGGTAATAATAAGTCTTTCTTCCCCTCTATAATAAGACAAACTGATTCCTTCAATGTAGCTTCAATTCAAAAAATTTTCAAAAATTTTAAAATGCTGAAACTGCTGCTTTTCGGGAGGGGGGAGAAGCAAAAATCCTCCTCTCCTCCCATTTGGCTTCCAGCTTAACTTTAAAGGCAGGCAATTTTCTCAAAAGCTCCACTTTGCAACAAAAACTGATATCATCTCACCTGGACCAGGTGCTTGCTTCCTGAAACAGCTGACTCCTGTCTCCGATGATCTGCTGAACATGGCGGCAAATGCAAAGCTCTCCGTCTTTCTCTCGCCGGTTCCAGAAGCTATTTTGAGTTTGGAGAGCCGACAGTAGCCGGCTCCCTTTCCTCAAAGAGTTCACCTCTCGGTGGTCACCCCTCCAGGGTGGCATTCAGCCCTGCTGGGCCCACCAGCGAAAGAAATTCGGACCCTGGGAACGGAGAGTCATAACCCAGGGTCTACTACCAACGATGTCACCGAAAGCTCTCTCCAGCTAACATGTTCTTCATAAGTGGCAGGGATACACATTCTCCACACAAACCACATTCGGCTTACAGTAGTCCACGCATAAGCAGAGAGAACCATCCTTCTTTTCTTGGAATAGTACCGGATCGGCTGTCCAGCCTCTGGCTGGTTGTATAAATCCATGTTGCAAGTTGTTGTCTATGAATGTGTGGAGTTCTTCCAGCTCCCAGGGAGTCATAGAGTGTACTTTGGGCTTTGGCAGTCTGGCCCCAGGGAGGATCTCGATAGTGCAGTCTGTTGGCTGGTGAGGCGGGAGCACATCAGGTCCCTTTTCACTAAAGACCTCACTGAGATCCTAATATTTTGGGGGGATGTTAGGGTACTGTCTTGGCTGGTTCATGCCATCACAGTTAGTTCCATCATACCCTGAGTGGTTTAGTTCTCCTCTCTTGGGCCCTCCCCTTTAGATTTTTAATAGTTTCTTTTACCAGTTAATATAAGGGTTCCATTTTTGGAGCCATGCCAGCTCCAGTGAAAGGGGTCTCTCCAGTCCCAGAGCCATAATAAAGTGGTGGTTCCCCATTTGCATTTCCACCAGCTTTGTTATAAAATGGGCTGGGGCTCCTCCAGCTATAGTCCCATCTGGTTGACAAAATGCTATAGGCACCCTCAATTGTCACAGCCTCAGCCTCAGCTTCTCTATCACTTCACGGCTCATTATGCATTTAGTTGATGATGATGATGGCATGTTCAGTTTGACTGGGATGGGTTCACAGGGCGACCTACCAGGGGATTGTCATCGGAGTCTGTGTCACTCCTCTCTAGGGTGGTTGGAATTCTCTGGTCCCCGTAGCCAGGCGGGGAGAACTCAATGAGTTTAACTCCCTCTAACGTCATTTCACGAGGTTTCGGTGTGAGCTTTCATGCCTTTCCTGAACTGACGCTGTTTTTGGAGTCACTTTGGCGAGTCGGCAATCGATGGCCCTCCTTCCCTCATTTGAAGTAGCCTGTAGTTAAGTGTTTGGGGCATTCTCAAGGTATCCTCTAGGGGGGAGGAGCAACACTATCCATGGGTGTTCCAGCTATGGGAGCTGGCCAGGTTGATTTCCACTTCCTCGGTTAGCACATACCACTGATGAAGGATGTGAGGGGCTTCTCCTGAGATGCAAGTGTTGTACACATCATTATTGAGCCTATCTTGGAATGCTTGATCAGGATGTCTTCCGGCCAATCAGCCAGCCAGCATGCCAGTTCACAGAACTCTTGATTATAAGCTGTCACTCCTCTGCAACCCTGATTGATAGTTTTGATGCGAGTTCGCTCTTTGTGTTAGGTGAGTGGGTTGGTCGAAGTTGCAGAGTTTTGGGGTGTCGTTGTGGAGCGAGACCATCCACTCTGCTGTGGTGCCTCACAGAGCCATGGTCACATGGTCCAGAGCCACATCTGACTCGGGCCACCTTGGTAGCCAGGTCAGTTCCATACTCCTACATGTAGTTCCAGACCTGAGTGAGGAAGAACCCCAATTGCTTTGTGTCTCCCCTGTACTTCAGGCCCACGGCTGGGGGCTTTGGAACCTCTTACCTCGGGGGAAAGAACCTACTGGTGAGGGGGCTGCACTGCTGGAGCAGCTGTTGGCAGGGTTGCTTGTGCCAGAGTGGGTCCAGGTCAAATTACTGCTCCTCTGGCTGTGGCTGCTGGCATTGCAGTGCCATCTCTCATTGGTTTCAGTTCAGCTCAAAGTTTGGCTAGCTGAGCAAGGAGTTCTCTGACTCGCCTGTTCCTGAAGGCATCCCTCAGTACCCTTTGGGCTTGTTCCACCAGATCCTCCCACTTGTCTGGCTCTCCTTGGCCTTCCTCCTCACCCCAGTGTGTTGCTCTCATCTCCTGGCTCTGCAGCTTCCCCTCATGTAGGTTATACTGAGGGTTTTCTCTTTCGCTTCTTCATCTTTCATCCCCAGGGTGAATGACCACCGGGGTTTTGGAGCCTCCTTGCCAATACTCATTTCCCCCATCCATTCAAGCTCCTCTTTTGGGCGATGTGGTTTGGCCAGGGGCCCTCTGCGAGGTCCAGCCTCCTCCAATCTGCTTTCATGGCTTGTCAACGACCCTTGACTCATGAATGTTAGAGAAAAGGTATTTTTACTAGAGATATTGAGTGCAGTGTGAGCAAGACAAGCTCTGAAAGAAACCTGCACGAAAATCGTTTATTGAAAGCAATCCCCAATGTCCAAAACTCTCCCCGTGGCCAGAGCAGTCCAATCCAGTTGTGGCCTGATGTTTTGGGAACCTGGTGCCTCAGGCACCATTGTAAATTCTTTTCCCAGGGCTGGCATGCTTGAAGGCAGGCAGATGGCAGTTTGGCATTTCTAGTTCCTGCTAATGTTCCTACTCCCCAAATTCTCACAGCATTCTTTCACATGTCCAACACTCTTTCCCTCCCAAATGCCCCTCCCCCCTGGTTATGGCAGTTGCTAGAGAGCTTCAAAGAAAGCCAAGATAGGCATCTGACAATGTGTGTGTGTGTGTGTGTGTGTGTGTGTGTAGTGTATGTTTATTTGTGTGCATGTATGAGTATGGGTACATGTATGGGTATATTTTTTGAGAGTGAGCATCAGAATTTCATTTTTTAATGTGTGCAGTGTGTTCACAGAAAAAAAGTAACAATAAAGGTTATCTTGTCCCATCACATCTTATCGTGGTGTGACTTAAGTGCAGCCATTGTGGTTTGGTTCATATTATCTGTGAACATAGCCACAAACACTATGATAAATTAGTTAAAACATAATATTCTATTACGGATTATTGTATGATGAGTTGAGGAAAGAAGGCACTATTGTTGTTTTGTCTTCCATTTAATAATTAATGTGTAATTTCACCCATAGGATAGTATGGCTCAAAATAATAGAAATTACAGGGCTGAAGCAAACTGGGCCTGTCAACATCTTAATTTTGGACAGTGTGTGTTACAGAATTAATATAATTCTGTTTTCCATTTTTGTGTTTTATGCAATTACTTTGCAGCAAGCCAAAATTGAAGAAGAACAGCAAAGTTCAACTCAAAATGCTGGGGAGCCTTCCACATCTGATTCAAGACGACCACGCATCAAAAAAAGTGCATATTTTAGTGATGAGGAAGAACTTAGTGACTGATATAAATACTATGTAAATATTCTGTATGAGATTACTGTTGTTAACCATGATCTCACTCTTGTAATTAAAATATAACTTGAAAGCACCAAGCATTTATAGTATTATCTTTACTTCATACTATTATTTCCATTCTGTTATTTGTTATATATTTTTTTAATTTTATATCATTTATATATAGTAGCATCCCATTTGATTGACTGCAGATAACATACAGTGAGGGAAAAAAGTATTTGATCCCCTGCTGATTTTGTACATTTGCCCAATGATAAAAGAAATGATGTTGGAATATTCCTGAGCAGGAAGAGTCATGTGGTAACTCAGTCAGCCAATGTGAAGAAAGTGCTACTGAGTCTGTGCAAAAGAGTATTGAGTTAGGAGCTGGATTTCCAGTCTCAGGTCTGTCTCTGTATCTCTCTGTAAGAAGTCTTCAATTGAGCTATGTTGCTGTAAAGAAGAATGTATGGTATTGTAAATATTTTTATATGAATATAAAGAAGTTATTTTGAATCAGCTAAATGCAGTCAACTGTGAGAGCTTCTGATTTATTTTTTCACCAATAGAGAAATTAAAATTCTCTAACAGGTTATGGGCCCAGAGCTTACTAAGGACTGCATTGTAATTTAAAGCTGGAAGAAATTGCCTGTGTTTAGAAAGTATAAGAACAAGGCAGAATTAGCAGAATGGCTGCAATGGAATTTAAGGAAAACTGTGTGCCTCGTTTGGGCCAGAAGAATTACATTGTGTGGGCTGCTAAAATGGAATGTTTGCTGAAAGCTAAAGAGCTGTGGTATATTGTAGAAAATCCACCACAAGTATTTGCAGCTGTTGATCAGAAAAGTCATGATCAAGCAATGGCTTATCTCATTTTGAATTTAGATGATGAACAATTTCTAAATGTTGCAAATTTAAAGACTGCAAAGGAGATTTGGTTGAAGTTGAGAGCTGTGCACGTGAATGTTTCTGCATGCAATATAGTACAATTGTCAAGAAAACTTTACAGGGCCTGTTTGCAACCAGGTGAATCTGTGGAACAGCATTTAAATAAAATGCAAAGTTTATTTTTGGACTTAGAACAACGTGGGATTAAATTCCCTGAGTCCCAGAAGGTTTTATTGTGTTGAACAGTTTAGATAAAACCTGGGACACAGTTTCTGCAATATTTGAGTATAAAGAAAAGCAAGACTTAAATTGTGAGGCTTTAAAGGCATGTTTGCTTAACGAACAAGAAAAGCGCCATTTTAGAAGCAGCCACGAGGATGTGAAATTCCTGAGGAGGGGGTCCAGACTGCAAGTCTCCAAAGAAGAAACATTTTGCAGGCAGAGAGCTAAACAAGAAGAGAATTGCTACATTTGTGGAGCAAACAACCATCTGAAAAGGGACTGTTTGCAAAGGAACAATTTGCAGCAAAGGACAATTGTACAACCAAAAAGGACTGATTTGCAAAAGGAACATTTTGGTGTTGCAAAAGTTTGCTATAGCAACAACAGAGACAAGTGGCTAATAGATAGTGGGGCAAGTCAAACAATTGTTAATGACTCTGAATTATTTTGCAGGTTTGTTCCAGTAGCACAAGAAGCTGTGGCTTTGGCAAATGGCCAGAAAGCAAAAGTCATTGGAAGAGGCGATGTAAAAATTCCATATTTGGAATCAAAGTTTACCAATGTGCTTTGTGTACCTGAGATGGAACATAATTTGTGTCTAATTTAGACAAACAAGGTTTTGAGATCATTTTTGTAAATGGGAAGTGTCTCATCAACAGTTTTATCTAAACTGTTCAACACCAATAAATGGGAATATTTGTGCAGAAGGCATAAAGGAAGATAATCTATATGTACTGCAGGGACAAAAGGTTCAATATTCCCATATATTTAAGAATGTTGCAGAGCATGATTCATGAGTTCATCTTCTACATAGAAGACTTGGCCATGCAAGCTTTAAAGTTTTGCAGCAAATGCAAGAGTTTGCAGAAGGGCTAAATTTGAAGGGATGCAAAACATACTTGGACTGTGCAGTATGCAAAGCATCGAAGTCAAAGGCATTCCCAGTTAGTAAATGTAGCACAAGACAAACAAAAAGAGCTCTAGAGCTGGTCCGTGCAGATCTGGTGGGACCTATGCCAGCCAGTTTGGGAGGAGCAAAATATGCACTGGTAATTGTTGATGATTATAGCAGGTATAGTTTTTGCTACTTGCTTAGAGGAAAGACAGAGGTGCTACAACAATTCAAACAATGGTAAGTTTTGTAGAGAGAAGGTACAGACAAAAAGTGTGTCAGTTGCAAACTGACAGAGGTACTGAATTTATGTCAACTAAATTCCAACAATGGTTGGGGCAGTTGAGGATAAGACACAGATGTACAAATCCTTACACAGCAGCAGAGAACGGTGTAGCTGAAAGAAGGAATGGTGTTTTGCAAACAATGAAGGATTCATTATTAGAAGATTCTGGTATGAGCAGGTCATATTTGGGGAGAAGCCATATTGACTGCCAATTATATAGTTAACAGGCTGTGGAGTTCCTCCATTAATAATACTCCATATGCCATTCTATATGGGAGAAAGCCATCACTGGCACATTTGAGAATTTTTGGAAGTACTGCATGGGTACATATTCCAAAAGCAATCAGAAGAAAGGGACAGCAAAAGGCAAGAAAGCTCAGGTTTGTGGGCTATGAGCCAGGATCAAAAGGATATTGCTTTAGCGATGGAGGTAAAAGAATTGTAATTTCAAGGTCTCCTAATTTTGCAGAACAAAATTGGGAGAGAATTAATGCAAATTCTGGGTATGTCTCACTTAATAATGGTGATTTATTTAATGACAATAACTCATCTAATGATAAAAAAAATGATTATTGAAGATGTCAATGTTCAGGGAGGAGAGGCTGAACCAGACATGAAGCCAGAAAGACTTGAGACACAGGAGCAGTTAATACAACGTAGGTCAGAGTGATGTAACAAAGGAATTCTGCCTGACAGGTATTCTGCCAGCAAGGTAAAGGTTTGCAATGTGTCGTATGAGCCAAGAAGTTATAAAGAAGTGTTGGCATTACCAAAAGCTGAACAAGAAAGATGGAAGAAGGCCATGGATAAAGAGATGAAATCCATGGGAGACCATGAAGTATTTAAATCAGTGACTTTGCCACAGGGAACCAAAGCTGTGGGTTGTAAGTGGGTATATAAGAAAGAGGTATTGCCAAATAATGATATACAGTATAAGGCCAGGTTAGTGGCACAAGGTTTTTCACAATTAAAGAAAATACATTAAGTCAATAGGTCTGATGTCTCTTCCTGTCATGAAGGGAGGAGTGTTGGAATATTCATGAGCAGGAAGAGTCATGTGGTAACTCAGTCAGCCAATGTGAAGAAAGTGCTACTGAGTCTGTGCAAAAGAGTATTGAGTTAGGAGCTGGATTTCCAGTCTCAGGTCTGTCTCTGTATCTCTCTGTAAGAAGTCTTCAATTGAGCTATGTTGCTGTAAAGAAGAATGTATGGTATTGTAAATATTTTTATATGAATATAAAGAAGTTATTTTGAATCAGCTAAAGGCAGTCAACTGTGAGAGCTTCTGATTTATTTTTTCACCAATAGAGAAATTAAAATTCTCTAACAAATGATCCGTGTATAATTTTAATGGTAGGTTTAATTTAACAGTGAGAGACAGAATAACAACAAAAAAAACCAGAAAAAAACATTTCATAAAAGTTATAAATTGATTTGCATTTTAATGAGTGAAATAAGTATTTGATTCCCTATCAATCGGCAAGATTTCTGGCTCCCAAGTGTCTTTTATACAGGTAATGAGTGGAGATTAGGAGCACTCTCTTAAAGGAAGTGCTCCTAATCTCAGCTCGTTACCTGTATAAAAGTCACCTGTCCACAGAAGCAATCAATCAAATTACAAACTCTCCACCATGGCAAAGACCAAAGAACTGTCTAAGGATGTCAGGGACAAGACTGTAGACCTACACAAGGCTGGAATGGGCTACAAGACTATTGCAAAGCAGCTTGGTGAGAAGGCGACAACAGTTGCTGGGGTTATTCGCAAATGGAAGAAACACAAAATAATTGTCAATCTCTCTCGGTCTGTGGCTCCATGCAAGATCTCACCTTGTGGAGTTTCAATGATCATGAGAACAGTGAGGTATCAGCCCAGAACTACATGGAAGGATCTTGTCAATGATTTCAGGTAGCTGGGACCATAGTCACCAAGAAAATAATTGGTAACAAGACTTCCGATTTGCTGACGCAGCCACCATGGACGCTTGAAAGACGAACTCTGTCTTCCTCATCTAGTTTCGCATCGCTGGGTCGAAAAGTCACCCCATAGAGGTGACCAGCAAGGAGCCGGCGTTACCCTCCAAACCAGCCGACGAAAGACCAGCCATAGCAATATGGCCGGTCAGTAGGCTGTGGACAGCCGAAGTCACACTTACCACCAGGCAACATTAAAGCAGCATGGAAGAGACTGGGTGAGATTTACCTCTCTTAAATCCTAACTACCTTTTTCTACCTACGTAAGCTGCTAAAGTACTTCCCCCCGCCATGGAGAGGGAAGGGGGAGTTTATCGCTCCCTCCAGAAATAGCGGCGACCGATTATTCAGGGGAGTTTAAAACATTGAAAAAATAATTGGATCCCAATTAGAATTTTATTTTCTAAAGTTTGTGGAGTAAAAGACTTTCTACTATCTATTCTTTACTTTCTAATTTTTATTGAAGATCTGGGTTTTTCCTCATAAAATAGAAGAAAAACAGAAAAGATTAAATAACTCTGAGATTCAAAAGAATTTTTTAAAGGGCAGGGGCGACATCTTGTGGCTAAATCTGAAACTTCAATCTGTTCTCTAAGAGAGATTTGGCTGACAACCCAGAAAATAAGGTAAGATTCATGCAACTTTAAAACACCAGATATGAGAGACTCAGCCGTGCTTTCTATTTACTGAAAAAATAATAACAGTAACAAATTGTAAAAGCTTCTAATCTAACTCATCATTATGGAAGAAGATCAAGAACATACTTTTTTTATGGAGGAAAATCAGGAACAAATTTTTGCTACGTTGAAAGCAAATTATCAAACCCTTCTTACAGCTGG